TTGCGGCGGTGGCAGGCAAGAGAGAATCAGGGGAAGCAGAAGCAACAAATCAGAGCCGTGACCTTTGCAACTGAGGCAGGCTTTCTGCCTCACCCACGCTCCAAACCACTCATCAAATCCACCAGCATCATCTCGGACGGCACAGATGGGGACCGCTGCTACCACCAAACCGTGCAACGGCACGGATTCATTTCTACTGCTACGGGTTCAGCTACAATTACCCCTGTCTACAGCTGAAGTCAGAACAAAAGGGCTTAAAACAAGGGGATGGCTGCGCTCCTTTGGATGTGCTCCCTTCCCCAGTTCAGCAAACAGCCTTTTCTGAAGAGCAGGACCTCGCATACACGCAAGGGGCCAAACTCAACCTCAGTGTACCCCGAGCCCCAACAGCTTGTCCTACTAGGTATTTTTTAAAAACAGCCTTTCCAGCTCTGAGGAGCTCTCTGAGCCCAAGAACAAGCTATATTTTGTTCTTTGTAAGATGATTAAAATAACTACACTCACATAGCTCTCGAGTGAGTACACCAGAAAAAATCCCCATCTTTGTCCGCAGAGCCCCAGGGGACATTACAGGGTTGCACCCAGCAGGACATAACTGCTTTTGCTTGTAAACACAGTAATGCCCCTGAAGCAACAGAGAGGGAACCCCATCGCGTAGCTCACACACAGCACATGCTGTATGCAGATCATTTCCTTTCCAGTGTAAGCTAGCAGCTTAACTAACGACACACGTTAATCAAACGAAGACTTGGGCTCAGCAGTGCTGGTCTTGCTTGGACTGTCACTGGACCTCCTTCAAAACTGAACAGAGTCCCTAAATCCACAACCTGTTCCTACTCCTTGCTGGGATCAGAACGATTCCTCCTCTCTTCCGTCCCTTTTAGGCAAGAATTGCTGACAGCCTTGATATCGGGACCAGTTTCCCGTGTTACTCTAGACTAGCTCAAATAAAGGAGGAAAGACAGAGAAATCAAAAAATATATCCATACCAAATAATCATCTGGACGAATCCCAAAGAGTTCTCGGAAGTACCGAAAAGCCACAGGTGCATAGGTCTTGAACCTGAAGTCAGCGTAATGGTGAGCCGGGGTGAGATTACTCCCTTTGCTGCACAGAACAGACATGACGTGAGCAGGGCCTCTGTATCACCGCTCGCCAGATACCCACAGGCAGCTCAAGGCTACTGCACATTCGAGATGAATTGAGCCTTCCAAAAAGACATCTCAGGAACAACAACAACAAATTTCTTTCTTCTATAGCAGGACAACAGGAAAACAGGTTTTAGATTATCTGCCAAAATCTATTTCCAAAGAGTGCAAGGAACAACCACTCGCCACCAGAATACAGCTTTTATGAGCTTTGTTTATTCACAGTTAAGAGCTCCCAGAATGAGTTTCTTCCAGCTCAAACAAGGTATAATTCAGTGGAAGAAATTCTAGACAGACAGGCAGAAATAAAAGCACATAGGAAGGCAACAAACTCAAGCACTGGAGTCCTCAAGCACTCAGGTACTGCAGTCCTGCGTCCAGCTCTGGAGCCCTCAGCACAGGACAGAGCTGGAGCTGCTGGAGCGGGGCCAGAGGAGGCCCCAGCAATGATGCGAGGGCTGGAACCCCTCTGCTGG